GCAAAAATTAATGATAGGTTTATAGTAAAAGAAACATTTAAAACAGTAGCGGAATTTATAGGACCAGCACTTTAAAAAGTAAGCACGAGGCTTTGTGATTTTAATGCTCAATTTTGCTAAGGTTATATTGACCAAACACTGCAACACTTAGCGGCTACCCAATGCACATGTCAGTTCAATGGCTTAGGTCCAAATTGACACTCCTCCAAACCCGCATGCCGCTGCAAACACACCTGGGGACTCAGATGAACAACCTAACTTTTCTCTCAACCAAACCCACTCATACCTCCTTCAATACTGAACGGATCAGCTCAAAATTTTGAATATAAGTATGTGTTATCATTATCCTGCGATAGAAACAATACCGATTGCTCTATAGTCAATGGAGTCTTCAAAATGACGAAATAGTTACATTTTAAATATTTAGATGAGGATGAGTGAGATCATCCAAAATTTGGAAGGATTGTAAAAAAATTGTTTCTTGGCGTAAAGATCCTAGTATATTTTAAACCTCCATCAGAAATTGTGCAAGTGTTAAATAACTTGAACTTAATATACCGTTCATATGATTTGCAAACAAACATTTCAGTTCATTACAACTAACAAAGAGATTGCCCATGATGGAAGAAAATAATGACAGATGAGGCTTATTGAATTGACTCATACCACTCAGTTAATAATTATAACATCAGATCTTTTTTAATGAAAACATGAGTGTTGATTTCAACATATACTAACAAATATACACACCTTTTGAATAAAAATGCGCTAAGTGTATAATTTTATTTTTAATTTTAATAATAATTTGCCCCATCGCATAGAAATGCAGCTATGCAGCGTCGATGGTCACCGGACATCAATCAGTTGCAGACATGCATTCGTGTTGAATGTTTGTGTATCATTTGCTCCTCCGAATGTCCCTGGCAGTGTGCATCACATTGAACTCGGTTTGGTGTTGTCTTAGTCATGAGACGCTATTACTTCCTACCGTTTAGTTTGTTTGCTTAATTTAACTTAGAGACAAATTGTTAAGGAACAAACGCTTCTTAAAGTTGATAATCTAATTGAATATTTTGGGAGTCTGTTGCAACATTTAATTGAAGTCGGTAAATAAAATGGACATGGTAAATTTTAAGTAGTGAGTAGGTACAAATTTTTTCAGAGTAGTGGTTAGACTTTCAGGTAGACCCTAGGTGGATCGAAATTTAATGTATGAACCTTCAAAATTAGAATTCCCTCCTGCTCAACCTGAACCCTACATCTAAACCTGGACCACAGGCCACAGCCTCTCAATTTGAGAGGCCGGGGTTAGGGTGAGTGGTCCAGTCTGAGAGTATCAACCTGGTCCCTGGCTTCTCCTCCTCAATCTCCACCCTGGGCTCTCAATCTCCACCCTGGCCTCTCAATCTCCACCCTGGCCTCACAATCTCCACCCTGGCCTCACAATCTCCACCCTGGCCTTACAATCTTCACCCTGGCCTTACAATCTCCACCTTGGCCTCTCAATCTCCACCCTGGCCTCTCAATCTCCTCCCCAGCCTCTCAATCTCCATCCCAGCCTCTCAATCTCCATCCCGGCCTCTCAATCTCCGCCTTGGTCTTTTAACCTGGACCCTGGCCTCTCAATCTTGACCCTAGCCCCTCTCAGTCTGGACCCCAGCCTCTCAGCCTGGACCCTGGCCTCTCAGCCTGGACCCCAGCCTTTCAGCCTGGACCCTGGCCTCTCAACCTGGACCCTTGCTTCTCAACCTGGACTTGGTCCTCAGCTAAGTCAGCTTTCACCCTAGCCTCTCAAAATGGACCACAGCCTGTCAGCCTGGACCCTGGCCTCTCAACCCTGGCAGTCCCTTGCCTGGCAATTTATTTAGACTTCCAAATGGCTTTCAACAGTGTGCCATATTGATGTCTTCTAAGTAAGGTAAGGGCCTACATAATTGGTGGGAAGGTGCATGGGTGGATCAGCAACTTTTTGACAAATTGTACTCAGCGGGTGGTAGTGAACGGCTTACATTCAGACCAGGCATCTGTCATCAGTGGTATTCCTCAAGGATTGGTCTCAGGACCAGTGCTCTTTGTGTTGTACATTAACGATTTGCCTGGATGCATTCAGAGTGACATGGGTTTGTTTGCGGACAATGCAAAAGAACACCAAAAAGGTGGTGTTCCAAGAAGACATCAATAGACTGCTGACGGGGTCTGATCGGTGGCTGCTACGTTTCCATCCGGAAAAGTGTAGTGTTCTGAAAGTTGGCACAAAGAAGAGTGAGGCATCGTATCACATGAACAGCACTGTACTTGCAAATTCAGAGGTTGAACCGAACGTGATCTTGGAGTTCTAGTAGACAACAACCTGTGCTTCAGAAACCATGTTGCCCAAATGTCCGCCAAAGCCAACAGAGTTGTTGGTATCATCCATCATAGCTTTGACTGCCTCACAGAACCTGTGTTTGTTCAGTTATATAATTCGGTCACTCTGTGTGGCAGCCATACAACAAAACACTCTGTGCAGAGGTCGAAGATGTTCAAAGAAGGGCGACCAAGCTTCTGGCATCACTTAGCCACCTAGACTACCCAGCTTGGCTAGCCGCTCTGCACCTACCCAGTCTCAGACACAGAAGAAAAAGAGGCAATCTCAATCTCATAGACTGTTACAAATACCTCCACGGAGTTTACAACACCGCATCTCTCTTCAAGCTGTCCACCAGTTACAGAACCAGAGGCCATAGTTTAAAACTAGTAAAAGAGCAGTGCAGTCGCCAGGTCTGCATGAATTTTTTCTCCGTCAGAGTGGTGAGCGTGTGGAATAGCCTTCCTGAGCTGGTAGTTTCCAACCCCTAGTGTAAACTTGTTCAAGTCTTGCCTGGATGCTCACTGGTCTAACCTAGCCCCCAAGTACGACCCAGACTGCTATCACTAAACTTGTATTTGGAACCCACCATGCACATTGCTAAATAACCATGATTGACGTATAACCATGATTGGTGAACAGGCCTCTAGTAAGGCCTTCAACACCTTAACCCTTCAAAGTCAAGTCAGGCCTCTCAACCTGGACTCGGGCCTCTAAGCCTTAACCCTGGCCTCTCAGCCTTCACCCTGACCTCTCAGTTTTAACCCTGACCTCTCAGCCTTAACCCTGGCCTTTCAACCTGGAAAAGGGCCTGGACATTGGCCTCTCTGCCTGGACATTGGCCTCTCTGCCTGGACATTGGCCTCTCTGCCTGGACATTGGCCTCTCTGCCTGGACATTGGCCTCTCTGCCTGGACATTGGTCTCTCTGCTTGGACATTGGCCTCTCTGCCTGGACATTGGCCTCACAAGCTGGACCCTGGCCTCTCTGCCTGGACATGGGCCTCACAACCTAGGCCCTTTGGCCCAACATCCTTGATGTTTTCCCTACATCAAGGATGTTGGAAAAACATGAAATTTATTTGAAAAATTTGATCTTGAATGAGGCATTTTTTCTAAAATACTGGAGTTTCTTGCAAATTTCTCAGACTTCTTATTGTTTCTAGCAAAAATAATGTATAAAATGATAATTAACTATGCCTGCTATACAATATCCATATTTTGAAATCAAAAGACTAAATGGATCATATGGTCACATTTAATGTTAGGGTCTTGTAAGACCAAGTGGACTGAAATGTTGCCTTACATTTTTTTTTTCAATATACAGTTTTCAATTTTTCATAGGTCAATAATATACATAATATAATAATAATAATTTAATACAATTTAATAAACCTAAAAATTAATCAATTGTGAGACATTGTTAGCGTTGAGGATGTTGCGCATACGAGGCGGAAGGAGAGCAGCATGACTTCAGACCAAGGCAGTGCTCTCCTTCTTTGCCTGAATAACTGAACTTGTTGAGTCATTGAGTCAGTCTTGCCAGTGGGAGATGAATCCAGAAGATCTTATTTGTGTCCCAGAAACACCCAGGCATGGAATATATCTACTTGGCAAACCAAGACTGGATTTTTTAACCATGGTTTTTTGGGTTTGCTAGCCGTGATTCCATTTCTTCAAGCTGTGAATTCCAATCACTGCCATGAAAAGCCATCTACAAGCTGCAAACTCATTTACAAAGTCCCATGCACATGTTACCCTAAATCTCTAATTTTACCCTAAAAACTATTAAACCAGCAACACTAACATTCGTCTTCACTTGAGTGGTAACTGAACATGTGATAATGCAGTCTGACTGCTCTGATGTTGCTGCAACTATGCAATCTTGAAGGAAACATTTGGGTGGAATTGTTATTGCACTCTGCAAGATATTTTGGCAGAAGTTGAAAATTTTATGAAGCAACATGTTTGCAAAGTGCAAATTGCAATTTTTTCAATCATACAAAAAGCACATGACATTAGAGCTGCAAGATTTCATACCTAATTATATTATATGATATTAGAGCCTCTATACTTCAGAAAAAAGTAGGACTTTTCCAGCCCTGGAAACACCTGGCACATTCTCACCATCATTAGTTGCATCATCGGCAAATGCAAGCTCTGCTTCTGTAGGCATGTACTCAAAAAAAATTTTCTTCAATCATAATGAAAGTTATACAACTGAAAATGAAATATAAAAAATGCATATAAAAATGCAGGCATGCACCCATTGCACATTTGAGTACAACTGAGTAGTAAATTGCAGTTTAAAAATGTGGTGAATGCAATTACTGTGCTAAGCAAATTTTTATGATTCAAATTTGAGAATACAAGAGTAACTGTCAAATTTTAATGAAGTTCAATTTCATCAAATTATCCTAAATAATTGAATAGGAATTGCTAATTTAATCTTTGAAAAAAAAGATGTGGATATAGGTAACTATCTTGACTTACAAGTAAAACTTTGCCTTTAAGCTCATTTTTTAAATTTTGGTCATATTAGGAGAGTAATGCTGTGTATGGAATGTTGGTCAAGTGATTGAAGATTAACAGAGGCATGATGATGTAGCCACAAAAACTCACCAGGGGCCATGGTGGGTGTTTTTTTGTAGGAGATTTTAGTGACCATGTTTGGAAACTTGCCTGCAAAAGGTTAATCCAGTCACTGAAATGGATTCTTGAAGTATTGAGTCATGAAAATAAATTTTGCCATAATTTTCATTTGAATTTAGTGTCTTGTTCCATTGTTGTTTTGTAACCCTTAAAAATATTACTTAGTGAGCAGAGACTAGCCTGCTGTAGGTAGTGTTGCACAATGAGAAGATCTCAAGATGATTCAGAGTATGGCATCAGGCCAGGAACAAAGTATGCTTCAATGAAAGTAGACTTCTATGTGAGTACATTTCAGTTTTAATCATTACCTAGAGTGCACATCTTTATTGCTTTATTGTGTTAAAAACATATTGAGCATAAAATATTTTTGTTTTGGGCTTGAAAAATTATAGTAGATTCAATGACAAAATTTTAATATATCTTAACCTTCAAGTCATCAAGCAAAGGTGGAATTAACTCTGGAGATAAAGAATTAACAATGAAATATATAGCATTAATTTATATGTTGAAGTTTTCTTTATTTTGATCAAAACAAATTTAATTTTTATTTCACCATTGTTATTAGATATTTACACTTTTTTCAGAGAGTTTCACCTTATCTAGCATGTATGGCCCTGGTCCTCATCATCACTGTTGGAATTTTCACTCTGAACAATTATTATTTGTTCAAGAGTCTTGCTGCTACACAGAATCAGATTCTTGAAGACGTTGCAGCACAGAAGGTCAGTTTTAGGCTCTAAATAAATGTCAAGGTTGATAACACAGCTTTCTTTCCTTAGCATTGTTTTAGATGTTTGAGTTACCTATTTCAATATTATCAAAAATCATTACTCAAACCTGATGTTATGAAAAGGCATTACCCAAAACCAATATTATGAATAGGCATTATCCGAAGCCATTAATTGGAAAACAAAAATTCATTTGCACAATTGCTTATTACTTCATATAGTATATGTTGCAAATAATAAATTATATATTATTCTTTGAAGGGATTAATTTTCACTATCACAGGACTATTGATTTCTTAAAACTCTTGGTAGTATATAATGTTCATATAATATAATAGGTATAAAATTCTCATCAAATTTTTTCTCATTTTCAGTTGAACAAAGATGAATTTCCCTCATGAAGTTCAAAATTGAAATCTGTTGGCAAATTTGTATAGGAAATCTGTATATTGGTATTTTGGTATGCATTTTTATCCTGATATAGATTTAAAACATTATAGGTATTCAAATTGGTGGAAGTTTTTGCAATGAACAGCTATTTCAACAATGAGCAGCTATTATTGAATGAAAAGGGGTGAAATATTGCAGTGAGACTGTTACTCATATCAGGTATTTACATTTTTGTTTTGAGTTCATTTCTTGCAAAGCAATTTTTCATAAAAAGAACAAATAATTATAATGAAAATAATAATAATAATAATAGTAAACAATTTTTATATATTCCATTTACAAAAATAAACAGAAACTAACAAGATTGTATACTATCATGTTTTAGAGTTGCTTACTAGAATGTTGTTACAATGTATTGTTTGTGGACTTCTACATCAATATGCATATATTTGTGAACATTAAAGTACTGTATGTGGACTGGGTTTGTGTGTTACCAAGTAATCATAGAGACTGATTTGAATTTAATCAAATTCTGCAAAAAGATTTTACTTATTCTTTTTTCTGCTTGCACTTGACCATACTTTTCTTGCTGTTGATCAATTTTGGTTTGATAGAGATACTGCCTGTTCAATTTTTTCAATTCTTACAATGAATTTTTCAGGATTCACAGACAAGCTTCTTGATTGAACTAAACAAGCTTACTGCCCAGCAAAAAAAAAATCATCAGCTTAAACTTCTTGAATTGGAAGAAAGAATGAATAAACCACTTACAGGAATAACTTGATATATAGTGAAAGTCTCCTTGCATCACAAACCTTGCAACTGCTTCATTAAATAAAAATTACCTATATATATGAGATAATAGTGCATCATGCTATTGAATGCTTCTTTGTCTGACAACCCAGCCACTTGCCTGACATTTCTTGCATTAATTTTGAGTAAATTTATTTATGTCTCCGTAACTTTTTCATTTGCATCAAATTGGTTTGTGATATAAGGTACCTACTATTACTTAGTTAACCTAACTGCATTAGTACTCTCCTGGTGCTGCAACCTGTACTAGTTGCAGTTTAGTTTACCTAAATGCATTATCGGTAGTACTTTTCTGTTGCTACAACCTGTACTAGTTGCTGTTTAGTTTCTCCAAACAAGCCACTTTGAATATACACGAAACTAATTCTTTCTTGCATTCTTAGTCAGCTTATGAATAATCTATTACTGTTCTGTAGATTGACCAATTGAAATGATAAGTATCTTAACTTGTTAAGTGAGGCAGTATTCCTTCCACAGAACATTATGATTATTTCTTTTTAATTCTTACATTTGATTCAGTTGTGGTTCAGTGCTTTTTTTACCTACTGTTAATTCCAGCAATTGTTTTACATTTAGTTATGGCTTAGTACTTCTATCAATGTTAATTCTAACAATTGTTTCACATTTAGTTTTGTTGAAGCAAAGCATTTTTTTTTTTGCTTAGTTTTCTTTGCTTTTTTGCTTAGTTTTCTTTGCTTAGTTTTCTTTCAACTTTAATTTCATGTGTAAAAGATTATAATTTTCAAATTTCAGGTATATTTTTAAATTTCAGGCAGCACAAACAAATATCTTGATAGAGCTGAACAAATTGATGGCTGAGCAGCAAGAGACTCATCAGTCTAGCCTTCTTGACCTGGAAGGAGAAATGAAAAAGTTTTTGGCTGAAAAACTAAACAAGCTTACTGCCGATCAAGAGGAAATTCGTCAGCTTAAACTTCTTGAATTGGAAGAAAGAATGAATAAATCACAATTTGTAATAACTTAATATATAACAAATGTCTTCACACCTTGCATCACTAACTTGGTCCTTGCAACTGCTTCATTAAATAAAAATTATGTATGGTATTATAAAAGATAATAGTGCATCATGCTATTGAATGCTTCTTTGTCTGACAACTCAGCCGCTTGCCTGACATATCTCACATTAATTTTCAGTAAATTTATTTATGTTTCCATAAATTTTTCTGTTGCATCAAATCGGTTAGTGATATGAGGTATTATTTAGTTAACCTAATTGCATTAGTATACTCCTGGTGCTGCGACCTGTACTAGTTGCAGTTTAGTTTACCTAACTGCATTAGTACTCTCCTGGTGCTGCAACCAGTAGGTATACTAGTAGCAGTTTAGTGTACCAACTGTATTACAGTGGCGGAAATGGCTAAATGATCACCCGGTTTTTTCTGAATAGTTTTTCTTGCATAAAAAAATAGTGGATTCTAATTATATGAGGTTAAACTACGTTTAAAAATGGCTCCAAGGCTATACAAAAAAAAATGATTCTTTCAAAATATATGTAAAGAAATTATGACAGAAAAACCTCGTTGGAAATGGTTATAAGACCAAGATAGGTTTTTCTGTTTTGGGGTCCCATACATTCATTTTAATAGGCTATCTTCCCTCCTTTCAGCCTAATTACCTCAATGCATCTTCACCCTCCATGCAATGTACTAAATAATCCAAAGTCTTTTGAAGAATTTTATCCCAGGAACTAAGGATAGCCATGCTCAGGTCATTCACAGATTGGAACTGGCACTCATTTTGATAAACATCCCTCGCCATGATGCCCCATAGATTTTCAATGGGATTGAGGTCATTGCTAAGCGCTGCCCAAGCCAACAGGATAATATTCTGCTCTTCTAACCATTTGTTTGCTGACTTTGAAGTATGAATCAAAGCATTGTCTTGCTGGAAAACCTATTATCCCTCATGTTTCTCATTGGCAAAAGGGAGAAGATGGTGAGATAGCATGTGCTTGTATGCCTTGGAATCTTGTCTCACTTGTAAAATAGCTGGAGTTGATTTTCCCTCTTGGCTGAATCCCCCCCAAACCATGACCGAACCAACACCTGATTGCCGCTTGGAAAAGAGTTCAGGCTCATGGTCCAGGTGGTGCTGTTGCCGGCGCTATGGAATGCTTATGTCGGGTTCTTTAGTCTCTGGCAACAATTTAGGTGAATGAAAGTTTTCTTCTTGCTATGGATGTATTGTTAAAAACCAAAAACCCTTAGTATTGATAAAACAATCAAGCTGCAAGCACTAAGTTTAACTTAGTTTGAATATAATTGATAATATGAGTGCACAAGAGTAACGCGAAAGAGAACACACAAGAGATTAAAGTGAACCAAGGTAAACGGCAAAATTTAAACTGTGGTAATAACAGCAACTTATTGGGAGAACACATACGTAAATTGAAAACAGTTTGGTATTCTCATAATAAAATAGCAAGCATTGAAATTAGAAGATTGAAATAGCAAAGCAACTGAAGCAAAATGCAATTAACATTCTTTAGATTAAAAGCAAGCATTGCCAGAAGTGGATAAATGTATGTGCAAAGTATAAAGATAAGCATGAATAAAGTAAATCAATTATTAAGCTGACTGAACACTAACATACCTGGTTTTAAAAGCTTTATACAATATGGATTCTAACAAGCACTCACCAAGGCAATTGCAGTTGTCAGAGCATTGGATATCAATCTGCCTGCTTCTATTAGAACTTTACAATGTCACTGATCAAGCACATGCATGAATAATATAATTATTGGAATTTTCCCCCGTGCCTGAAAAAATAAAGAGAAATATTTGGTATTGAATTAGAACATATGCATTGAGTGAACAAATGAATAACAGATTTGGTTTGCGATGAAAAATACTGAAATAACCACCCGGCTACAGTGCCAATAGTATTACCATCCATTTGGATTCTGGACCATCAAGATTGACTTTTTTCATCTCTGAAGATAATCAAAGCACATTTTTTTAGATAGTTTCAGTATGTTGATCACATGCTTTTGTTTAAGCATAGGGGCATTTTTCCGCTTCATGCACTTTAATTTCTTTGAGTCATGCAAAATCTGACAGATGCGTCGTGCTGTCACATAAACTCCAGTGGCCAATTTTATAGAAGTATAGGTAGCGCCAGCTTTAGAAGCCTCTGAAAACAGTTGCCTAAGATCTCTGTCAGTTAAGGGGACTGCCCTAGCATACGAAAACTTCTACAGTTATTATCCGATTGTCATGAAACTTCACATACATACGTAAAATGTAAAAAAAAAAACATTTTGCTCCTATGAATTTTTCGAAAAAATTGATAGAAAACGTGAAATTCATAGAAAACGGCTAAAAAGGGGTACTTTAGAAAATCTATCTCCTCCCACAAATATCATCCTACAACATCGAGACACGTATCAATCGATTCGTAAAGACCATATCTATTGACTCTAACATCAATTTTTTCATTTTCCATCTAGTTTTTTTTTTATTGCATTTTTTCTATTTTTCCCATTTTTTCTCATTTTTCACCCCTCCCCCCCTTCTCCCCCATATAAAAAACGAACCAGACCGAAATTCAAAAAAGTGATGTTAGAGTTGATAGGCCTGGTCTTTACAAATCGAATGGTATATGTCTCATTGCTGTAGCTTGAAAACTGTAGGAGGAGATAGATTTGACGTGAGAGCAGTATGAGGTTTTCAGTACGGCCAAAAGACTGCCCGCGCGGCACTTAAATAGACATAAAAGAGTCGCAACGCAGCCAAGATACCGTAACTTAGCCTTAAACCATTAAAGAAGGAATGGAGCAACTGGCTGCACACCTTTCACGTCGCTGTCATGATGGGCACTGAGAGGTTTGGCTTCAGCTTGCAGTTTTAGTAGTCACGCCCCGTAATTAGTGCCTTAGGAATTACTTAAGGCCGCCCCCCCCCGTTCTATGGGGCGTGGTGCAGTAGAAAATGGAGGTACAAAGATGGGTGTACCACCAATCGATGCGTAAGAAAGTGCTCTTTCAAACAAGACTATGCCCACATTAGTGCCATGATTGGCTGCTTTTGTGGAGTGACCAGTGCGTCATTTATCCTCGTAGAGTTTTGTTAAGGGACCTAAAACCCGCCTCCCTTTGAGGAGCTGTCACAAAGTCATTTTTCGACATACAGGGACGATACTTATACCGTTCGATGCGCAAGAAAACAACCTTTAAGATGAGATAAGAAACAGAAAAACTCAAAATTTTCAAATTTTAGCTAGGGCGGTCCCCTTAATTTTGGGGTTGGTTCAATGTGCAGTTTTTATTGTAGCTGTCCGAATTAGCAAAAAAATTATTATACAATGGTTTTTGAGCATTTCATTTATTTACGATGTCCTGTTGGCTTCTACTGTATTTCCCAAAGTCAAAATCTGCGCCCTCTTGGCCTCTGTGAGTCTTGTCCCCTTTGGCATCTTTTTGACTTAAGAAAAAAAAATAAAAATGAAGATACTGAACTACTCCAGAAGTACCATAAATGGCAAAAATCAGGATATTCTTCATTTTGCTATACTTTTTAACGTGAAATTTTTACAGAAAGATACTAAAATGAAGAAAAATCCATCATGGTCTTATAACCATTTCCACCTAGGTTTTTCTAATTTTCATAATTCTCATATAGGTATTTTGAAAAAAAAATTTTCCCTAGGTATCGAGTTGAAACCGTTTTTAAATGTAGTTTAACCTTGTATAATCAGAATCCAGTATTTTTTATGCAAGAAAAAATATTAAGAAAAAACCTTGTGGTTGTATAGCCATTTCCGCCACTGTAGTACTCTCCTGGTGCTGCGACCTGGACTAGTGCAGTTTAGTTAACCTAACTGCATTAGTACTCTCCTGGTGCTGCAACCAGTAGGTACTAGTAGCAGCTTAGTTTCTCCAAACAAGCCACTGTGAACTTACATGAAACTAATTCTTTCTTGCAATCTTAGTTGGCTTATGAATATTCAATTCTTCTTTTTTTCGACCAGTTGAAATGATAAATAACTTAATGTGCCAAGTGAGGCGAAATTCCATCCACATAACATTATGATTATTTCTTTTTAATCTCATCATTTGATTCAGTTATTGTTCAGTGATTTTATTACTGTTGATTCTAACAATTTTTCACATATACCTAGTTATGTTTTAGTACTTTTAGTAATGGTAATTCTGATAGTTGTTTCACATTTAATTTTGTTGAAGTGAAGCAGTTTTTTTGCTTTGTTTTCTTTACTTAATTTTCTTTGCTTAATTTTCTTTGCTTAGTTTTCTTTCAACTTTAATTTCATGTAAAAAGATTATACTTAGAGAATATTTTTAAATTTCAGGCAGCACAAACGAATATCTTGATAGAGCTGAACAAATTGATGGCTGAGCAGCAAGAGACTCATCAGTCTAGCCTTCTTGACCTGGAAGGAGAAATGAAAAAGTTTTTGGCTGAAAAACTAAACAAGCTTACTGCCGATCAAGAGGAAATTCATAAGCTTAAACTTCTTGAATTGGAAGAAAGAATGAATAAATCACAATCTGTAATAACTTAATATATAACAAAAGTCTTCATAGCAATACCTTGCATCACAAACTTTGTCCTTGCAACTGCTTCATTAAATAAAAATTATGTACTATAAAAGATAATAGTGCATCATGCTATTGAATGCTTCTTTGTCTGACAACTCAGCCGCTTGCCTGACATATCTCACATTCATTTTCAGTAAATTTATTTATGTTTCCATAAATTTTTCAGTTGCATCAAACTGGCTTGTGATACAGGGTGAACCAGAATTAACTGACCCTTTTAATTTGTTAATAAATAAAAAACTAAGAACGTTGTGAAGTTGAAACTTGTTTTATTTAAAAGAATAACATTTTTATGGTAATATTGTATCCTAGTTTTTAGGATACAATAACTAACTAGGATACAATATTACATACAATATTTTAACTAATACATATTATGAATACCTACATAATAAATATTTTAACTAATACAATAATAAAATATTGTAATAGGATACAATGTTTTAACTAGGATACAATATTACCATAAAAATGTTCTTCTTTTAAATAAAACAAGTTTCAACTTCATAACGTTCTTAGTTTTTTATTTATAAACAAATTAAAAGGGTCAGTTAATTCTGGTTCACCCTGTATAAGGTATTATTTAGTTAACTTAACTGCATTAGTACTCTCCTGGTGCTGCGACCAGTACCTACTAGTTGCAGTTTACTTTAACCTAACTGCATTAGTACTTATCTGTTGCTACAACCTGTACTAGTTGCTGTTTAGTTTCTCCTAACAAACCATTTTGAACTTGCACGCTAATTCTTTCATGCACTCTTAAGTCAGCTTATGAAAATTCAATTACTCTTCACTGTAGTTTGACCAGATGAAATGATAAATAAATTATCTTGCCAAGTGAGGCACTATTCCATCTACAGAACATTATGATTATTTCTTTTTAATTTCATCATTTGCTTCAGTTATGGTTCGGTGCTTTTATTACCTCCTGTTAATTCTAGCAATTGTTTCACATTTAATTTTATTGAAGGGAAGCAGTTTTTTTTTTTTTGCATAATTTTCCTTCAACTTTAATATCGTGTGAAAGAGATTATATTTAGAGAATATTTTTAAATTTCAGGCAGCACAAACGAATTTCTTGATAGAGCTGAACAAACTGATGGCTGAGCAGCAGGAGACTCAGCAGTTCAGCCTTCTTGATCTGGAAGAAAAAATGAAAAAGTCTTTGGCTGAGAAAGGATACGATACCGCGCATTTCAGCAGCTCTACATCTCTGCAGTGTAATGGTATGTTCGGCTCTTACTGAATTTATGTTTAAAAGGAATTCATATTTAACTAAATTGAATTAATATTTATCAAAAATGAATTTATATTATTAAAAATGAATTATGAAAAAATGAATTTATATTTAACTGAAAGGAATTAATATTTATCTAAAATGAATTTAAATTCAACGAAAAGGAATTTATATTTAACTAAAAGTAATTAATATTCAACTTGAAGAAATTTATATTTAATTAAAAGGAATTTATATATAACTAAAATGAATTTATATATATCTAAAATGAATTTATATTTAACTAAAAAGAATTTATATTTAACTAAAATTAATTTATATTTAACTAAAATTAATTTATATTTAACTAAAAGGAATTTACGTGGTTGCTTATTTAGTGATTCCTTGTTAAAAAAAAACTTTGAACAAGGATTTCTCTAAACACTGCAATGTTTCTAAGTTTTTAGCCATAAATACTTTTCTTGTACTCATGAACAATTCTGATCACCGGTTAAATAGGTCTAGTGTTTCTGATAGTTTTGCCTAAATTCTTAAAAAAATTTGTGTTGATGTATTGATGAAACTATAAATTATGTAGTAATTCGTTATAATATTGTTGCAGGATTGTACTTGGCTGTTTTGGCAGGCAGTTGGATTTGTTACAGCCTCGTGCAAAAATTCTCCATTCCATAAGAGGTATTATCTTGGAGACGGAGGTGATTATCCTAGTAAGATGAGGTGATTATCCTACTGTGGGGAGGTGATTATCTTCTGCTCAAAAAAAGCACCTTGAGCTTTGATGCTATTGATGCTCCATTCTATGGTTATTTACTATTAAATTTATTATTAATTAAATGATAAATAATTAGTTGATCTCATTTGAGTGATACTAGATTCCAATCGACCTGATTCAACACAATCTTTTTTATGTCGATTCCTGAATAATGAACAATTAGAATGAGAATGATGTATACTATGTTGTTGATGTAGAGCAAAACTGTCATGATGTAAATATTTCGTTTTAAGTTCTATCATAGTATCTACAATAGTGCATTTCAGCACTTATTGTACAGTAATGCTTTGTAGCAAGTAAGCATGGAGCCTCACTAATGGTCAAGTCGTCAAATTAAATCGTTATGGAAAAACTAAAATGTAACATGGCGAACTCTGGGATCCGCCGTACTTTGGGATACATTTTCTCCACTCGTAATTTTCGATTAAGATTGAAAGATATGTTTTATTCACTTATGGCGTTCCATCAAATGTTTAGTATATGTACATTTTTAAGGCTTGTAGCATTCGATTAAACGTATAAAAGTGATTGTTTCCGCACTCGTCTTGTTTGATCGAAAGTTTAAGTCATAGTTTTATCCAACAAACGTTGGCGCACTGTACTGTTGGTGCACCTGTAGCGTTCTATCAAACGTGTACGTCGTTCACAGGAATGTAGATCGGAGACACCGTGTCATGGGCTGTGATCATAATTCAACTTATGTAAATTTTTGATGTCCTTAGTTAAGCAGTTCCTTCAAGTCGCGTTTAACTATACGAGCTGAGGAAGTCTTCTAGGCTTGCAGAGCTTGAGCCCGTCTTGCTTGTTCACTAACAAAAATATGTCTGAATAGCGATATACTCATTGTTCAGTGTGTGTCATCCTGACTTGGTTTCGCCGGCTCTGGCCGTGTTAGTGATACATCCGGTCTCAGCCCGTGCTGTGGGTAAGAAAGTATGTCGCTATTTGGACAATATGGCCCCTGATATTTTTGTGGGTAGTATGCCATAACATTTGCAGTGAAGTTATCCATTAAGACTGATATATACTATTGTTGTGAAGTGGTTAGTCTGAAACCATATATTTGAAGCTGTTTAGCTTGGTTTCATCATTTACATATATTGTCTTACATCGATTTTTTAGATGATTGATATTTATATTATAGCCGTCTGTGTTCATTTATTGTCTGTAGTTGAAACAAATGTCGATTTGTCAAGCTTCATTCAATTTTTAATTTAAGCACAAATAATTTATTTTCAATAACTTACGTGTTGGGCCTTAAATACTTAAGAATAACTAAGCAAGTCTCTGATGTATACAAACTAAATTAAAATTCTACTGATGGAGGGATCATGTCGCGTAGCAGTCAATTATTTCATATTTTTAGCTTTCATTTGCTTAGAAGAATCTTCAAAATAATACGCCCTCGTCTTCTTGATTGAGCCCTAATAATAAAATTCCGTCGCTAGGCCTTGATATATTGGATGTTCAATTTTAAGTATCAATTCATACGAAGTCCTGAGAAATATCGCTCGAGCTCTCAAGTTATTTTTATAATATTTTAGTTAGTTGAGGAATAGGTCATTTTAACCTGAAGTTCGAAGTAATTTATGTTGAATATTCACTACGTACTTGAATTATTCAAATTGATATTAACATTTGTGATTCCTTTATTTTGTTTAAACTGTAAATAATGTAGAGCCTACGGCTCAATTCCTGAAGTAGATTAAGGCATTCGTTTTTCTATGATCGTACAGACTTAACTGAAGTGACATCTTCCGACGCCACTACTAAGTGAAATATTTCTAGAGAAATAATATCTCATCAGTGATGTCGGCGCTGTCGCCGATTCTTGTTCTTTTCGTGACCTGTTCTAAACAGGTGACTTATTCATCTAAAAATAGGCCCGTTGGCCGGATCTTTTCAAAATTGACGATACCCAAGTATTAACGTTTTCATTATTTCCTTACAAATTTCCATTTAATGGGCGTAATTTCTGTTGAATGACGTCTTATTTAATGCATTTTTCAAAGGATTTTTGGGTCCAGCTGGTAAGCCATCTGATAGAATACCATCGACTGGGTGAAAGTTTTTGTCCATATGTTTCAACATTTCGGGCTCATAGAATATGTTCATTACTAATGCTCAGCTGACGTTATAATGGAAGATATTTTATCTTTTTAACTTCGATGGATTTATTCACACCTGAAACACAAGGAAAGTGGTAGACAAAAGCTGTGCCAGCGTTTCAATATATATTTGACTCCTAACTGGATTGGTACATATGACTAACAATAAATAAGGGATCATCATTTGAAGCAATTACTTAGTTGCTCGGAGCTCCAGCGTAAGGGAGCAGCTACGCGTGCCACAGATGCCTGCTATTCACTACACTAACGCCATCCAGCTGCCTTAGTTAAATACAAGTGCAGTGCCAATATTGGACGCGTGGCACTGCGAATATAACAATAGTTTTCTGGTGTAAGCAAGTTCAAGTGAAAACGAGTAATATTTTAATATGACGAGTTATATAGGGACGAATCAATCTTCAGTCGCGACTACCCAAAAGCCGTACCAAAGTCCAATAGAATGCAATGCTGCCAGTGATTCTGCTAGGTAAAATACGCAAATTTTATACTTCACGTTACAAATATCTTCTCTTGCGTGTCCTAAAGAATTATGATTAAATTTGCGCTCCAGCAAATAAGCCATGAACGTAGACTTGGTATTCAACAAGTCAGGGTAAAAAGTGACAGCTAATACGGTGTCATAGTATACGATGCGGCGGTACCAAACCTTAAGGGATTTCTCTAGATTACGGCAAAGAAGCGCGTAAGACAAACTGGCGCTTACACTAGTTCGACGAAGTCTACATGCGAGATTGCCTCCTTAACTATAGCAGCAGCTATTCAAACCTAAACGGCCAGAAGTAGTTGTAAATATGCTTCTGAAATTGCCCATAGCTGGGGTGGCTTCAGGAATTAGCGACAATAGATCGGAGAAATATTTCCTGATTGTTTGATCTTTTCTCATAACGTGACCATAAAGAAGTCATAGAAATAAGCCCTTCAATATCAATCACCCGGTTGTAAATCTCCGACATTAATCACCAAATAATGTCAGCTAACAGGTCCACATAGATACATTATCCTCAACAAATCATGAGACAACTGACAAGACATAATTTGGAATATTCAGAAATCGTTCTAAAAACAATTCAGCAACATAAGGTTAGTACATGCACATGAGTTTCAGCCTCATGGCTGGATTTTCATGGATAATCTTAAGAGAAAATTATACGAGATCATTTTCACGTTTGTGGAGCAACGAAATCTCATTAAATAACCACTCCATAATCAATTTTCATTACTGAATTATAGTTGAAAAAGCATCCGATTATAAGCAAATTGAATGACGTGGCAAACGGTCATGTCCGAAGCTGACTTGAGTGAGGCGGCGCTCCAGCATGGCTTAGGACTGCCACGTCCTCCAGCATGGCCTAGGACTGCCACGTCCTCCAGCATGGCTTAGGACTGCCACGTCCTCCAGCATGGCTTAGGACTGCCACGTCCACAACACTGGCCAAGCAAACCAAGAGCCCGTACAGCCATAAAGGCAGGCAGTACGGGTGCAGTCAGTTGTATAAATCCTATAAACTGCTTCAAAAAATGGATAGCTTAATTGTCTAGGTTTTCTCAATGCCTTAAAATATTCTACTTAATTTAGTTGAACAAATAAATAATGGCAGCCATTTCGTCAACATGGTCAGTATTAATTGAACCATCAACAAGTTTTCCATTAACAAATATCTTCAATAATTAACAATAATATATCTATCGTACACTATTAGAGCAACAATTAAACTATAATCATTGGTCAATCATTGTGTCTGCAGTTTGAAGATCTTCAAGAAAGACTGTCATACATCCGTTCGAACTATCGTCAGGCAAGGAGTCCGTATAATTGGAGACTGCATAAATTAGTAGTTTAGTTTAGTTTAGTGGCCAAATGTTTACTAGCGCTTCAGCTATTTAGCTATCTCGCACCGAAAGTCAAGATGAACATCACCAAGCGAGCTCAGCGGTGGGGCGCTCAGGAACAATCCCCCTAGGAGCGCGAAATCCCATAGGACTTCTGACGCGCACAGACACCCGTCAGAAGTCCCCCCTGAGGGGACATAAATTAGTAGATCTTTATGAAGAAATAAGTAAATTATATGATAAATTCGTTAATAGCGAGAAGACCACAACCTTTCATGCTCCAAGATACCTACACGGTACGTAGAAACATTGGACGAAAGGCTGGCAAACAGTTGGAACTTTGCCTGATATTAACGTGGTACCCAAACTGAAGAAAGCAATGCTAATATAAGATACACGTGACCACTTCACAGTAGATTTTTCAGCCTGGGATATTACGACTACGGGCACACATTCATATTGATTTCGTGGAAAAGGCTTTGAAACAAATCAAGGCCAATTAATACACTATCGAAAAGGACGATAAACTGCATTCCAAGAAGTAGGCAATACACTTTAGAACTTGAAGTATATCTAACGATGCTATTGTGCAGTTATCGTTCTCATGTTAATAAAACCCCGATCTGAAGATAATAAAAAGGATTCTTACACGCCGTATAGACGGACACAAACCAGGTTGAAAATAACTCGAAGCTATTCTGTTCATGTCTTCAACCTGAATCTAACTCTGGAACAGCCTATTTTAAGGTAAACGGAACAATCCCTTTAGCGAAATTCCACAGAAGTAGGACTTTTAACGAGCACAAACAAACGTCAGAAGTCCCCCCAGAGGTCTAAACGAAAACCGGCCACTTAAACAAGAGGATGGCTGGCCCAAATATTGAGTAGTAGTAGTAGTAGTATAATGGTTTGCTAGCGCTTCAGCTATCAAGCTATTTCGCACCGAAGGTCAAATATAACATCGCCAAAGAGGCGGAAGGTCTCAATTATTCAAAATCTCAAGTTAATCATCACCCACAAGGGGCGGAAGGTCTCAATTGTCCAGCCCGCTGAAGCTGGCTCGAAGGAAGCAGCGTTAGCATCTCACAAAGAGACGAAGTGACAAGGAGGGACAGGTGAAAAGCAACAGAAACGAAGACACTCGAACAAGAGGTCGCTTACACGGGACGTCGGCCGCCCGCACGAGAGAGACAGAGAAGGGAAATGTAAGGAATCCTACCTACATAATAACTTAACCCCACAACTGAGATCTGCAGTCAGACACCGCGAGCTCAGCGGTGGGGCGCTCAGGAACAATCCCCCTAGGAGCGCGAGATCCCATAGGACTTCTGACGAGCACAGACACACGTCAGAAGTCCCCCCAGAGGTCTAAACGAAAACCGGCCACTTAAACAAGAGGATGGCTGGCCCAAATATTGAGGTTATGACTAAGGCAAATATTGTACTTGTCGCAAAATATCAGACACATAACCTCAGTTGACAGAAACAGTTGGCGGGACGGAAGACAACAAACTGATAAGACAAGGGAAGCAAGTATTGCGGCTTGGCAGTTATAAACAAACCTATGAATTGCACAGCTGTAAGCTCCGTAAATATATTATAGAAGCGTTCAATTAGCACTATTGTGTTCTTTTTTCGGTGCAGATTTCTGTGCTCAAGCAGCAAATGACCTGAGAGGTACATCTTCGTATGCCCATCGACGGCATAGCTGGCACGGACACTAAGTGCTTCTAAGCTCATTATTGGTTCATTGCTTAAAATATCATTGATAACGCGTTCGAAATTATCAAATGACATTAGCTAGATAAATTCTTTACCTTCGAGAATTTAACCCTGATTAACAAGTAAGCGAATGAGCTCGAGATAATCGCATTAAAACAAGCTATTGGTCCACGATGAATGGAAACCATCTAGGCACAAGCAGTAACTAAATTAATCAACGAGCGACACAGACGTTAATACACCGCATTACTGGCTATGACATGTATATCATTGCACGTATTTGATCTTATTGGTTAACTAACGGAGGGACTGTCGCGTTAAGTAAACATCCATCGTCATGACGCATGGATATACTTGCATTATTTCAGCACGATAGTGTGAGCTAATTAATGTATAAATTATATTCATTACATTAGAAGAAATGGTAATCGAATATACATCCATAAAAGTCCAGCGTTTCATCAGCCTCACGCAAACAAGGTAATTAACTTAGACACAATAAATAGATCAGTAAAATACGCTTAACGTTATGCAACCAAGTCGCTCATACCCTAAAGTAACCAGCCTCCTACATCGGTTCTACATCAAGCGTTAGTTACTGCCAAATAACTTGACCCATGTTTCAGTTCACTACCCTCGACCTGGCAATAATTCAAACTCTGGTGTATGTGAAAAACATAAACATTTGGCCAACAAATAACGGAGAAAGTCGGCTTAGTGAGTCGTTGCAACACTGAAACTCATGAAACAACAATGATCATAGATCGCAACAACTTAAAAAACGATAAATATTTTAGATATTACAATTTTTAACAGATCTCGAGGTGACCTCAGATCTTCGTAATTGTTTCAATAGAAAAAATATGTGCCGCGCAAATATCGAGCTCAGGTGATAACAAAAAGTGAGATTGAAAACAATGCTAAATATTTCTCCTAAATCGTGTCATAAAAAGATACAATGTCATAAATTAAATTCTTCTAAGATTATAAGGAACATTAAAATAATCTCAGGCGTATTGGTCCAGCAGTTCACGTTGATATATATAAAGCAGAGCTCATATATGTTCGTCTGCAGTGTCAATAACCTAACAAATTCGCAAGTTTCTGTCTGATTTAAATCCCTGTGTAAAGCATGCAAATCAATTAATTTCATTACCTAATAAAAATAGCACTATATTAAAAGCTAAATAGGATCAACTACAAAATTATATAATGTATTAGAAATTATAAATGATATATTTCCAAGCAAAAAGTATGGCACGCAATAAATAACATTTTTCTTAGGCCGTGTTACCATACGGTGGCCAGAAGAAGCGCGAACAAACAAGCTTTCGTGATAAGAAAATTACTATAGATTGATGAAGACAAATGACGGACACGACGTTCAACGATAGAAATTTTCTTATATATATTTCCTGGATATATTTTCGAGTGTCTTGCACACATGACGAGTACAGGGAAACCATCGCAGTTCATGTACAGCATGATCATCAAATTTGTCTTTAGAAATATTTTGTAACAGATAACATTGCCTGCGGAATACATTGCTTCATCATACGAACATGTGAATAAAACTCATTATTTATGTAAAAAACACAAAACACGATGAATGCTTAAACACGATCATTAGTCTTTGGTGCATATTTGTCAACTAATTCTATAGATTACAATAAAAGCATATACAATAAATCTATTGAATCAACAAATCGTATTTGGTCAACTCTGTAGCAAGAGTTAAAGGATTGAAATTAGTAAAGCAATCTACATTCAAATAACAAATATGATATCATTACACAACATGTATAAAAAAAGGTACCAAGAAAATTTTACTTATTAAAATGAAAAATTTTCAACAAGGAGATATTATTATCAAGACAAACTATGAAAAACTTATATAATATAATAAATATTATAATATAATGATATTATAATCATATAACCGACTGATGGCAGGATTGAGTTTAAAGGGCGATAAGCAGCCGCTCACATCTCTTGATACGCAAACTTTTAGGTGAGTGAAAGCATCTGGGAACGAAGTTACGAAGTTGACGGGAGTTTCTTGAGATTTTGCAAGCTGAAGCATAAAGTTGGCATCACTTTCACAATGAATTTCAATAAAATATCCGTTAAAAAATTGACACTTTTATAGTCAACCTACGCCGCTGAGCAGTTTATCCAGTGGCGACAGTGAAGTTAAATGATTGGCACGAGAAATTAAAAGCGCACTAAAAAGCACCACTTAGAACTTTAAAAAAAGGAAAGCCTGATAATTCTCCTATTATAATTTATGAAATCGTCTTTGCACCTGCACCGTTAGTGCTAAACATTCACCTCGAATGGTTAACACGAATTTAAAAACTACAAATATTTTTTGAGAAGAAACTAAGCAATAATTTTCCAACTCCATGCATGAAAACTTCGAATAATGCAGTTGACTTCTGCCAAATGAATAATTTGAGGAATAAAATCAAGGCTAAATAGAATGGATTTGTACCTCAATGTGAGAAGGACAATAGCGGTATGATCAGGGCCTATACTTTCAAAAAAGTTAAGAGATCGTAAGTTCATCAGCCAATCATTGACGGCCTTTCAAGCAAAATCCACCAATCATAGACAAGAAAATAGAACTTTCAAAAAAAGTTAAGAGATCGTAAGTTCATCAGCCAATCATTGACGGCCTTTCAAGCAAAATCCACCAATCATAGACAAGAAAATAGAGCGTCAGTACTTACGTTCACTTAGCGAGTTTTGAAAGTATGGCCTCTGAGCGACTAAACCTTTGGTTGAAAAAGAAGTTTATAAATAATCTCAATAGAAAAATAAAATAATATAAATTTTTGTAGCCGCGATGTAGTCTTGGGAGCTTTACAGTTTGTAGCAAGATGCGTGAATACTTACACAATAAAATACGTAAAAACTTTCAATATTTTAACAGCAGATTTAGACAAGAAGCGTCCTTCATTAGTTTAATATGCAACCATTTGATTTCCTACAAATAAGATCAATTAAAAATAAAAAGATTTCTGATATATTTATCATTAATTGTGACATATTATAGGAAACTTGTTAAACATGGCGTCTATTACGAGAAAATTCATGAAGATCTGTTTTTTGTTTATATAAGTCACCTCAAGCGCACGCAAGCATAACCATAATAAACTATGGAAAATTTCATCCGACACGAATTCAAGAATCGCCATAATAATACAAAAAATCTGGTGTCCATAACAAACTACTTCCATGAGCATATTTTTGACAGCAATAGGTATGGTCAAAACGTGAACAGTTTTACAAACATTGCAGGAAGCTTACTAGTGTTATTGCATTATGACAGCGGTGAGGCTAAGCAATACTACACGAAGGAACTAGCAACAGTTATAGTCCTACGAATGCATGTTATTTACACGGCGATAGAGGATTCTTCAACGAAATAACAAACACTGGGCGGAAAATGTCCTCCCGAACACGCCACAATTCCAATTGTTGTTCAAAAACAAGATAAGAGCGTAGCTTTCTGCTCTTATCAAGAGCGGACAGTGAAGTTATTTCACATATTACCAGTTCGATGATAAAATGATAAAATAAGGTTGACAACATTAAGAATGTGAGATGGGTCATGGGTCATCCTATGAAGCATGAATAGCTCGAATAAACGTCCTACAGGCATGCCTTGTGTTACAAATTAAGAAAAAAACTAGAGAACCTGCAGGACCTGCAGTGTATTCAGCTCAACCGACGATACTTCGGCTCCCATTTGATTCTAGTTGGTATAATCTGACTTGGACCTCAAGGAATGATGGAATTTTGTTGGACACTTAAATCTATACAAATATCATAATTAGTATTGGATGGCAGAATTTGCTTGTTTATACATTTCGATTAATGACCACAGATTGCACTTGATCAAAAGTTTTCAAAAAGTCGAATAATTCTTTGGATGACATGCGTAGATTAAGAGACACGATTCAGAAAGTAATTTTAACATATTAACGATGTTTTGAAGGCAGCAACATTAATTCAAGTTTCGTCATACAGTGGCCAGCATCGTCATGCAGTGGCCCAACGTCATCCGAACGACGACGGCTGAGGCCCTCATCATTAAGGGTTGGACTATCAATACCCAAACTACAGTTTTTGTCCACACCGTGACATTGCTTTAGAGGTAATTATCTGCTTTCAATATAGGAGTTGTATCCTGTTTGTGCGCATTATGTACTTACGTCCACCAAAATTAATTATTCATTGCTTTTTAGAACTTTAAAATGGATGAAGTTCATTCAAAAAGTCGTTAATAAATTAAAATGATTTTACCTTCTTTTTAATCTACCAACGTCATCCGAAGAATTGTTTGACTACATAAAATTTTAATCTAACACATTCTCTGATCCTCAAAGAAACTTTTATAGATATGACAATAGGCAAGAGAGTTATATATTATAGTAGCCCTACCTTAAAATTTTAAACACAAGATATCATTCAGGTAAGACGATCGATTCCACTTTCGAAATAAGAGAACAACACTCTGGTCTAAACTAACGAATGCATAACATTGCATGGTTCCTTCACAAAGGGAGACTGCCATTGTACTAGAATAATTATTGGTGACGATGCAAGATTCTAAAATTTTGATACTTAGGAGCAACATGATGGATTAGACGTTGAATATCTAACATGGGAAGAAGATGTCGAAGAAGAAACTAAAGCAAAGAACCGGCATTCTCATAACCAAAACTTTACTTATACTATTATATTTATTTTATATTAACATGGTACACATATTACGTGGAAATAATCAAGCTAAAAGTATCAAATTTGATATCAATAAAAAATTCAATCATATTAAAGAACAATAGCTTCAATATTTTATGAATTTTATTTAAATAAAGCACATAGTATCGAAATAACTTAAATAAATTCTTGTCACTTCTTGCACTATTGGACAGACAATAAACACCTTTGCCATTAAAAAGATCTACAAGTTAACAAGGTTCTGCAGAACTGGAATACAATATTTCAAAGCTCAGAAAAACGGTAACTCGTATCTACTGCAAGTTGCTTACATGCAGCGTTGGTCGGAATGTGGCAAGGGACTTAATTTAATACTCAAGTACATCATTTGGACGCAAAATGTACAGAGAGCACGCGAATCAGAAGCACATTTCGTACATAAAGAGCGCACCTACAAGAGCTGCATAAAAAGTCGGTTAACTTTGAGCAAATGGAACCAACTTGATACGTCGAACTGATGATGAATGAGAATTTTTCTTCACAACGTAGATATTAACCAAAAATTTGAATACAGTTCATAGCGATCAGCAGCTATTACTTTTCTGTTTAGCATGCAACCATTAGATTGATTGATTTTTATCTGAAAAGAAATTTCGAGGACATATTTCCCGTAACAAGTTTATTTTTCATTTGGTTTGAGTTATAAAGTTGAAAAAAAAAGATGTAAATAACATTTTTCCATTGGAAGATGTAGCAAAATTGAAGCTAGAACGGTACCAGCGGACCAGAATTCGTTACAAGAATAGAAATTCTTTAGATAAAACTTAACCACAGAAACTAATATAAACTAGAGAGCAGGAAGCCGAGAGCAGAACTGTTCCAGATACGAGAAAACCGTGACATTATACGTGAACAAAAACACGACATGAAGGCGAAAACAGAACTTTTTAACGCAAACTAAGTTAAAGACGGGCACGCGAAAATTTTTTACAAAGGCAGGAGGAGCGAAATGATTGACGATAAGACGTCATCATCATTAGAGAGGGAGAGTGAGGGGGAGAGTTTGCGAGCACGAGTGGAGTGTGAAGAGGGCGAACGAGGGGGAGTGGAGTGTGAAGAGGGCGCATAAGTGAGGGGCGAATGAATGAGGGGTAGTGGAGTGTGAAGAGGGCGAATCAGGGGGAGTGGAGTGTGAAGAGGGCGCATAAGTGCGGGCAAATGAGGGGGAGTGGAGTGTGAAGGGGCGATAGTGAAATGGAGATCGGGGGGCGAATGAAAACAAAAACAATTGGGGTCGAAAATAAGATCTTAGATGGCTCGAGTGAAAGAAAATCTGGGCGAGAGAAATGGTAAGAGTGAGAGAGATGATAAGAGTGAGAGACGGTAAGAGTGGATGTGTTAAGAGTGAGAGAGATGATAAGAGTGGATGTGTTAAGAGTGAGAGACGGTAATGGTGAGAGAGACGGTATGAGTGGATGTGTTAAGAGTGAGAGAGATGATAAGAGTGGATGTGTTAAGAGTGAGAGACGGTAATGGTGAGAGAGACGGTATGAGTGGATGTGTTAAGAGTGATAGAGATGATAAGAGTGGATGTGTTAAGAGTGAGAGAGATGATAAGAGTAGATGTGTTAAGAGTTAGAGAGATGATAAGAGCGTGAGATAAGGAGAGAGGGAGAAGAAAGAAGTTGGTGGCGAGAAGAGGTTTGCATCGCAGAGCTCAAGACGCGGCTAGAGGTCCGAGGTGGAGACCTAGGCCGGCATTCCAGTAGGGATGCTACCTGCAATACCAACACGGCGTTAGCAACACGGAATACACGACGTTAGTAACACGGCATACACGGCATTAGTAACACGGAAAACACGGCATTAGTAACACGGCATACACGGCGTTAGCAACACGGAATACACGACGTCAGCATCACTAAGCTCAAGTTACTAAAGTCAACAGGATTGTATACAGTGAACATGAATTCTTTCGAATGATGATCTGAAGTATTATCGAGATATAAATTAGAAAAATGCCAGAAAGGTCTCAATGTTTCACATTTGTTTTCATACAACAATTTTATCTTTCAATCCACCCTCTAAAATGATCAGCATATCCTTCAGAGTGAAAAAAAAAACGTTTCCGATAAAAAGAATTGCATGCAAAAGAAAAAAAACATTTATTTAAACTTGACACTTTGGAATTTAATCAGGAATAAATTGTAATATAAATTGATTTGACATCCAGCTTGCCAACTAAAATATCACACCAAGACATTGGTCGAGAAAAAGCATTTGATGTTCGAAACAAAATTAAACGACTTTAATGGAAAGAAATAATTCCACCAATTATTGACACTTTCATTCAATAAATTCACATCATGGCAGACACAGATTTTATGATTGTTAAAAATTATCTTATGACTTCTATGCTAAAGCAAAACAAAAATAACCTAGGGGAGTCTTGATATTCAAATTTAAAACTTATTCTAAAAATCTGATTGTTAACTCAGGTTGATTGTTCAGCAGAATAGATGACTCATCCATGGGAATTCGTTCTCAGGAATTGTTAAAAAGAATAAAATTAGAGGAGAATTTCAAGAGACGTGAAGAATAGGACAAAAACTAGCAAGGCGCTCACCGCGGTTGGCTGAGATTGTCCTGTGATGCTGCAGCGGCAGAATATAAATTGTTAGTAACTTTAATTGTAGATAACTTCTTATGGTCTTAACTTAGACAACAATGACATATACATATTATGGCAGAGCATTAAGGAAATTAATTAAGCAGAAGTTTAAGTGATGAGATATTCATAACTGTCTAGAAAACATAACATTTATATTGTGTTTCTGCGTACTGAGAAAGATTATTGAGGGAAGCAACAGAGGATTAAGGAAAGAGTATTAGTAGAGTAATTCCATAGCATTATAAACAGAGTCTTAAGAAAGTAATAAATCATAAGTTAAGACGATCTAGTTTATTATATCTGTCCAGAGAACTATGATATTTATATTGTATTCCTGCGTATTGAGGGAGAGTTCCAAAGAAGTGAACATTAAGGATATTAACCGAGTATTAATGATAGAGGATTATTAGCGCGGTTATATGTATTGTACACACAGAATATTAAGGGAAGAAATAAGCATGAATTTAACCGATAAAATATTCATATCTGTGCAGACAAGCAAGACATTACTATATTGCATTATAATGCACATGAAGAGTATGAAGGAAGGCAATAAAGCAAATGTCAAGTTGAGGAGAGAGTTGCGGGTTGGTCACTGACCGCCCTGGGAGGAGGTGCCGGGGCTGGTGATGGTCGATGAGGGCGGCGTAGCGCCCGCGGACTTTGTGCCTGTCTTCTTAGCCTCCTTCTGACGTCATCAAGTTAAAATATATTCAGTAAATATATATCAAGTAAAGCTATATTCAGTACAGATATAGTATTCAGTACAGGTATACTCAGCAAAAGATATTTTCAGTAAAAATATATTCAGCGAAGATATACTCAGTAAAAATATACTCAGCAAATATATATTCAGTACAGATATATTAAGTAAAGATATATTCAGTAAAGATACTATAGGTACTCATTACTCAGTACAGGTATACTCGGCAAAAGATATATTCAGCGAAGATATGGTACTCTGCAAGGATTGCTCATTAAAGATATACTAAATAAATCTATATTCAGTGTTGATATGATAAATAAAGACATTCAGTGAAGATGTACTCACTCCGCACTATCTTATAATCTTATATATCATACTTGTTGTCTCATATTACTTCTTGTTAAGATACATATTATACAAAGGTATCATTACAGGGAAGATATTCATAATGGATTCAAGGAAGACTGTTGCTCCTTCTTAAGTTAAGCAAACAAATAAGTTAGAGGATTCATGTGCTGTGCCATCTGTGATCCTGCTGCTAAGAAACAACATTTTCAATAAGAGAAAAAAATTCTGAGTTGGCATGCTATGTGATTGATGATAATGAAATGTGGATGTATAGTTAGTGACACAAGAAGATCCTTGTTATGGAAAAAACAAGCCTCGGAATACGCAAAAAAGTTGACTTCTTAAGAAGAAGTATTAAGGGAAAAAGGGGCAAAATGTTTTCTACACAAGACGGCTAAATGTGCAAGCAATTAAAACGTGAAAAGTTAAACAATTGTAAAGAGAATAATGGAATGATGTGATCACCACCTTGTTTGATGCTAACCATTGCCTCCCTACTAACCATTGCCTCCCTACGAACCATTGCCTCCCTACGAACCATTGCCTCACTACTAACCATTGCCTCACTACTAACCATTGCCTCCCTACTAACCATTGCCTCCCTACTAACCATTGCCTCCCTACTAACCATTGCCTCCCTACAAATTATTGTTTTACTACTAACCATTGCCTCACTACTAACCATTGCCTTACTACTAACCATTGCCTCCCTACTAACCATTGCCTCCCTACTAACCATTGCCTCCCTACAAATTATTGTTTTAACTAACCATTGCCTCACTACTAACCATTGCCTTACTACTAACCATTGCCTCCCTACTAACCATTGCCTTACTACTAACCATTGCCTCCCTACAAACCATTGAAACCGAATGAAAACTAAACTGATTTAGAGTCAAAGTTTCTAAATCACCATTACGTATTGTTACGATACAGAACCTATAGCAACGAAATTATTGTTGAGATAAAGAATCGATTTAAGCCGACGTATTGTTTTGATCCACAACCCATATCAAATATAATATATCTAAAAAAAATAAAAAATAAAAAAAATATATATATATATCTATGTGAAAAACTATATATCTATGTGAAAAAACGTAATGTATCTTTACAGTACAGAACCTATGTTAACCGTATCGTACCGCAACAATAAAGAATCAATCGTATCTCTACGATACAGAGCCAAAAGTAACCGTAACCTATCGTTACGGTACAGAACAATATTACAATGATCGAAGAAAATGGAAACAACTAATAATCAGGAATCAAACTATTGCCAACGTGTGCAAAAAAAAGTTTGAAAATTTCATGACTCACAAGAGTATATTTATGAGTTTTTCAATGCTCCACTTCCATGTAGAATGTAGATAAATGGTAGAACAACTTACTACAGAAGATTAACTTCGTAAATCCTCTCACAAAACGAAAAGAAAATCATGCACAGAGCGGAAAAAATAGCCAAGGGCTGAAATTTTAAATCTTGCGCTAAAATGAGATTTAAAATAGATGAAATTGAAGCAAAAAAGAGTGAGGTAAAATTAAGTGAGCCTGGCAAAAACCCGCGGAGTAACGCAAAAAAGTTTGTCATGATCAGAAATGAGCAAAGAGATGGAGCATACGTCAACATGGAAAGCTTGATAGATCAATTTAGTGATAATTCCATAAACGCTTCCGGTCGTAATACAAAGAAATTAAATGTATAATATGATCATTAACATGATGCACTTGTGAGGGTGAAATGTGCCCGTCTGTAGTGCTATGAGTGTCATGCGCAGCGTGTGACACAGCTGTCCCTCACATGACACAGCTGTCCCTCACATGACACAGCTGTCCCTCACATGACACAGCTGTCCCTCACATGTCACAGCTGTCCCTCACATGACACAGCTGTCCCTCACATGACACAGCTGCGCTTATACAAGCAACAAAAACGCGTGTTCGAGTTTGTGAGGAACTGATTAACAAATTAACAATTAAGTTAAAGTGCGTGAGTAACAATAGACTTGAATCAATACCTTTTGTTTCTGTTTGGTCCACGGAGAGAATTGGGAAATCATCAATTCGTAAATTCCTGTCATTTGTATAGAATAAAATTACACCTATGTCCACGTAATGAGTTAGGCATGCGGACTGAAAACCTAATCGTTAGACTAATATTTTATGAACAGTTGCTTTACGACAAGACTTCTGCAGAGTTCTGGGTACTTTGTTCTATACTTCTTTCTTCTCACTTCAAACTTGATTAGGAAAATAATTTATACCAAACATCTAAGAAAAATACACGGAAAAACGTGAGGAGCAAGATATTAAAAGAGAAAAAAACGAAACCAAGAAGGACCATGCCCAGTAGAACATATACAACAAGACACAACTTTCCATACAACAAGGACCAACATCACACAATACCAGCTAGAAGATAGCGATTGCCTAACTTTCTTTCCCGTCATATATTAACCGTTTATAATAATCATGAAGGTAACTAAATTTTAGAAGAAGCTCATAACTCCAACAATAGAGCCTGAAACATGGAATTTTAATAGTGAGTGAACGCAGTAGTTTGTTAAAAAATAGATACACTAAACTTGGCACTGACATGACCGATTAAAGCTCTAAAAAGCTTGAAAGTCCACATTCACTTAGCACATAATAAATAAATATCTGTGTGCTGAAGTATAATATCTAAAGATATATCTCGTTAACATGAGTGCATGAAGCACTCACATTTCTGTGCGTGAAGCGATAGCTCTGCTGGGCCAAGAGCGCTTCTGCCTTCTGGATGCGCTTCTGCAGACGAACCTGAAGAAATTGCACTTGGAAATGACAATTTAAAGTCCGATATACGAATTTAAAGTCTGATATAAGAATTTAAAGTTGAAAATCGTAAATTAAAGCTATAAATAAGAAATTAAAGTTGGAAATTCATTCCGCAATCTGCAATGCTGTGAAAAAAAAATCAGTAATAGTATTACTGTCATTCAGCAGCATTCTGGATAGTGAGATCTATGACCAAAATTCAGCATCTAATGAACATTTGACGCTCTGATGTATATTATTACGAATTGGGCTCCATAAGCGCTTAATAGAAAGCAAAGTTGGTATATTTTTATGCTGAAATACAAATTAAAAATTTCTTCACTTCTGGTGAATGAGTAGCAGACATGACTCACGACCGACTTTTTTCTGGTGGTTGACTTGTTATTAATCATGACCCACCTTGTTGTGGTGTGACCCACCTTGTTGTGGTGTGACCCACCTTGTTGTGGTGTGACCCACCTTCTTCTGGTCTGCCAGCAGTCTGCTAAGCGTGACCCACCTTCTTCTGGTCTGCCAGCAGTCTGCTAAGCGTGACCCACCTTCTTCTGGTCTGCCAGCAGTCTGCTAAGCATGGTCTGATGCGTGGCCAGCAGCGCCTGCTTCACGTTAGCAGGAAGGTGGAGGCTGGCGCGACCATGCGAGTGCAGGGGGATCTGAAAATCCAGTACATCTTCCAATTTTTTTATACTGATTACATGTTTAAAATTTAAATTCAAATTTTGAGAAAATATACAAAATCTTATAAATTTTTTCAAACAAAGCAAAGGTTTTTTAGCTCGAGCAAAACATATGTTAATTAGAATTCAAATCTAAGCATAAATTTGGAAATTAGTGAGAGGATATTTGAAAAGAAAAAAACATTACTTAGCAAAAATTCAGCAATGCAGTATTTATTGTAAAACTGGAAGACAGAGAGTATTTAGTTCATTAATACATACCATCAAATGCTTTTCGTGGCACAATGGCGATGGTTTTTTTGGTAATTTTCAAATTTTTGTTTAAATTTAGCTAAAAAATATTGAAGTATTCCAAACGGAGTTGATAGAAGCCGATAGCAAACGTGTGTTAGTAAAGCTATAATGCAAAAATATTTTTTTTCATGTTACTGTGCATCCGAAACGGAAATAGTATATTAGCTTGTGAATTTTTCTGCCCAAGTTTCTTAAAGAAGATTAGACTCGAAGGTCTCAGGTAGCTAGGAATATCACTAATTGGTGCAATGAACTATGAATATACTAACTAGTGTAATAAATTATAACTAGCGTATTTATTACTAGTGTAATAAACTAACTAGCGTCATAAACTATATCTATCGCTAACTAGCGTCATAAACTATATCTATCGCTAACTAGTGTCATAAACTATATCTATCGCTAACTAGTGTCATAAAGAGTTAACTAGAAACGTTATGGATTATCGAGGGCTGAAAAGAAGATTGCCCAGGAATAGCAGAGTAAAATTAATCGTGACTTGAATGATTTTTTCACGAGTTAAGAAATTTGGCGGAAGAAAAAAGAAGATGAAAACAATGATTTATCATACAAATTGATTCCACTTACATTCAGATTACAAATCATAAAAAAGAGCAAGGAAAATTGATAAATGCAATCGATTAAACTTGATGACTTTTATGGTTCGCTGTGCAATATTATTTTGATTAATAATTTACATTTACTTCGACTACAGAAGCTGTACATCGCACGCCTTCCATTCCCCACGCCAAATTTTGAAGATATTGTGAAAAAAGATAGTGAAACTACAATACTGGAAATCTCTAAAGAAGATGAAAAAAAGCATTCACAATATAATTAATCGCTAATCAAGGAAATATAATTATCATTAAAATTTAGGATCATTCTCGGCCAGTATGATTGGGAAAATTCGTTACAAGAAATTACTCACAAAGCCGTCCTAGTGCACCAGACATGGAACGATGCAGGCAACTAGAGCAGGGGTTCTTGAAGGGTTTAAATCAACCCCTGGGGTCTAAATCAACCCCTAGGGTCTCTATCAACCCTTGGGGTCTAAATCAACCCCTAGGGTCTCTATCAAACCCTGGGGCCTAAATCAACCCCTAGGATCTCTATCAAACCCTGGGGCCTAAATCAACCCCTAGGGTCTCTATCAAACCCTGGGGCCTAAATCAACCCCTGAGGTCTAAATCAACCCTTGGGGCCTAAATCAAACCCCTGGTGGTTGACAAGTCTAAAGGGTTGCGTTATAAAGAGTTCGGAAGTGTTGGTAACTTCCCTGGTACTTTATGTTTACGTTTGGGGTGTAGTAGTAGTAGTAATTGCAGGATATTTATACTAAAATGAATTATTAGGTAAACAATTGGGCACACTTATAATCGATCAATTAATCATACCAATAGTCTTGTCAACTACTTCACGATGATAGGTCTGCTCTTCACTGCTAGCTGAACTACTAGAATCAACTACTGACGTACAACTTTCAACTTTTCCAAGTTGAATATTTGAATAAGTACCGTATTCTTATCAGACTTTAAATAAAATCCATTCGGTAAAAGAAAGCAATCAAACTACAGTATCTAAGAACCCAATGTACAGACAAATATTATAAATCAATTTCCAGTTCAACCTGCGGAAAAAAATTTTTATGCATAATTTGATCGCAATTACGAATTATATTACCTATACAAAGAGGACATTGGAGCCTTCGATACACTTTAAAAATTGTCACACCGGAGAAAACCTTCCATTACAGGGAAGAAATTTTCAGTTTTACAACACGCAATTAAAAGTCAATTCTAAATCAATTCCCGAATTATACTCATACATAAGCCTGACATATATTCACTGGTGACATTGCTACGACAAGTAACTTGGATTTATAATAAACATAAAGGAGTCCATGCCAAAGGTACCAAGTTTATATTCTGAAGAAGAAAACCTTAAACTCTGACTAGTATAACGGTGAGATCAAGGGAGAAGTTAAAATTCTATTTCGAATAGAATTACCTACGATTTCATAGAATAATTTACATAATATTTGACTTACTTCATTGAAGAATGGATGCGTGAGGAGGCCTTCAATGGTAGGCATGCCATTCTTGGCAGCCTCAGGGCTGAAGATGGACTCCAGTACAGAACCTGGCGGTACAGGAACCATCAATAGAAAAACAAAAGGCAAGCAATAAAGTAGCTCATTGTCGATAAAACTTATAAAAACACCGAAGCATTTACACGTTGCATTGAAGTCAGTGAAGAATAATTAATTGGAAGTTTGGTTATCATATTACAAGTCATTTGTCCGAAAGAAATTAGAATTCCTTTAGGAGTCACGAGCCCGCACTGTCTGGCACCAAACAAATGTTAAATTGTAAAGTTCGGCATGGATTTTGCACGGCAGTGTGGCATGGAAGTCTTCAGTAATACAGGAAATTAGTTATGTTTATTGCTCAATTTGATACGTGATTCTAAGTTATGTACAACATTGCTTCACTTTAGAAACATATACATATAAGAGTGATGAAATGATAAGATGCTAGTGTGAGAACTAGTACGCACGGCAGGAGCTATATTCATCACTGATAAGATGATATTAGTAGACCCAGTTGTCACGACGCGCGCTATATTCATCACTGATAAATACGATAACATTGCTCACGACACAAGGCAGGACACTCAGCAGGCAGCAGCTCGCAGGTGGGTGTGGTGAGGGAGCGCCTCATGACCACCTCGTACAGCAGGTGCCCGAAGCAGTACACGTCAATCGCCTGTAACACCACACGAGCAAATTAAGTTATGCTATTTCCTTGTGTATACATAGTAACAACTAGATATCAATATTTTATATTTATCTATCACACTTATAAAGAGACCTATATTATTAACAGTATATCGATACCATAACGACTGTACTTCTTTTGATACGGATGCATGTGAGCGCGTATATGTGTGTCTGGCATCAACTGTTCTTCATTGACCGACCAAGGGAAAGCAAAACCTTGACATGTTTAAAAAAAATTTAAAAAAAACTTGAAATTTTCGGATTTTGGTAAGGGACCTGAATGGAATTGAGGCTTTTGACGTGCGTGAAGAGGTTGCGTAGGGGATGAGGGAGCCCCAGCACAAGGTTCTCCGTGCCCATGAGACGGCACACGCCCTCCACCACCACCACGTTCCCCAGGTGTACGTTGCCTGCATAACAACCGTAACGTAACGTCTCAACCGTAACAAAATGTAACATAACGTAACAATTATAACATAATGTAACATAACAATCATAAGATAATGATCATAACATTACGTAACATAACGTAACGTAACAACCATAACGTTAGGTAACGTAACATAACTTAATGACCAACCAACACCAGAGGTATAAGTCAAATAGTGTTACATTACGGTTAACAGTTATACATAACACAAATTTGAAACAAATGGGAGTTTAATTATACACTTCCTTTACTTTATCAATGAAATAAAAAACAAATCTGAATAATACCGGAAGTTGAATAATATATATAATTGATAGAGGTTCACTGTAAAATCTAAAACAGATTTTATGTATACAAGATATAAAGTGGTGCAGGAAGTTGAGTGCCGTGAGGATCTGACGACCGTACACGGCAGCTGAGCGTATGGACACGCCCGTCACGGCAGCGCTCGTGCTTCTGTTGCTCGCGTACTTCACGACGAAGCTGTTGTCCGGCCGAGACCCGTACAGCAGGTCTCGTAGGGAACCCTGTATGGTAAGTGAGATGCTTAGTTGTGTGTATTTGTGATAATTGAGGTTTATTACGGAGTATTTGGCAATAGGTACCGTAGTGAACAATAACATAGGTATTGCACCAGGTGCTAATTAATATACTTCTTACAGGGCATTGAGCTACAGATAACGTAATGACCTTTGAAACAATAGGTAAATCACCAGGTGCTTATTGGTGCTAATTGTACTAATAACCAGACATTGAACTCAGTTACGTTCTATAAAAACTTTTCATTCCACTGTTACAATATTATAGGTTGAGTGGTACCTATATACTTTATGCTATAGGCGCATACAGGGTAGTAGAGAATATTGAGGTCTGTATTTCAAGAGGAGAATAATATGCTTGTTGAAGAATATTGAGTTTGGTTATGTATTCCTCGAGATGCTCAATATGATAATGTAGTATAAGAATATAGGGTTCTGTTACATTATTACTAAGGGGCATGGTTAGTACGGCATGGTAACACACCTGAGGGTAGTATGGCATGGTAACACACCTGAGGGTAGTATGGCATGGTAACACACCTGAGGGTAGTATGGCATGGTAACACACCTGAGGGTAGTATGGCATGGTAACACACACTCCTGTCTCAGTCGCCACGCTGCTCAGGGTCGTCGCCAGGTAGGGATGCTGTTGCAAAACATCGCCAAGCTCAGTCATTAATACAGCATTTAATGGTCCACTAGATATATCACGGATTTTTTATCCATCTAGAATCAAATGTTATTAGTTTGGGATAGGTAACGTGGCGTACAAAATATGATTTATGGGAGCTTCAACTCAAGTTTTTAACCCTAAATAAGTAAACCTTACTTATAGCTTCAAATTTTGCACAGTAAAACTTAGTCAGCTCTGCTGGCTAAGTTAATGCAGAGAGAGCAAAGCTTTCTGAAATTGTTATAGTATTGCTACAGCTCAAAATATTAATATATCAAATTCACAGCCTGTTTTCTCACATAATAATTACGTTTTTAGCAAAATAGCTATGCTAACATTACTAGTTCATCTAATATTAGACATTAGTTTAGTAGCTAGACTAACATTAGTTACATATTAGAATATTACCAAAGTTAATTCTACTAGATCAACTATTATTAGATATTAGCTTAGTAGCTAAGCTAGTATTAGTAGTTTATCTAATATTAGATTCCTATTAGCGTGAAGCTAATATTAGCTATTAGCTTATCACCACAGCTGATTCTACTAGCTCAACTAATACTAGATATGAGCTCAACAGGTAACATGTATGCCAGAGCACAGCACAGACCTGGCACTGGACGAGCGCAGTGAGCGTGCCATGGACGTCCCTAAGGTGCATGGAGCTGTCGATGCCATATGGACACCACCACAGCATGAGGCTTGCTTTGGGCGGTGCCACGTGCAGCGTGTGGGCGAGAGCTGCAGATGTCAGCTCAGGGGATGATGATGAGCTGGACACAGCTGATGACGCTTCAGCTCCTCCAGCTGAACCGCTGTTCACTTGACTTACATGGAAGTATTGCTTGTGGTAGCGCCAGCCTATGCCAGTCAGCGGACTACCCAGCTCCAGCCGGCCTCCAGACCGCAGCACTGCTGCTACACTCATCGTGCCGTTCTCTGCACAGTGCATGATATACTTCAATAATAATTAACATATGATAACAAATAATACTAGTTACTAATAATAAAAAACGCCTAGAGACTTGTACTGTTATGTAAAACAAATACAGAGGCCTATGCTGGCTTCCAGACTGAAGCAGTGCTGCTACACTCATCGTGCCAAACTCTTGATGGTGTGCAATAAATAATCTATCTAAATAATTAGCAAAAACTGGTAATTTTACACGAAATAAAATAAAATCGTGACATTTTCATCCACATACAACTTTCATGATAACTATTTTAATGGCTAAGAAAAGCAATCAATATTCAGAGGAGTCATTAATGGAAATATACATTAGATTCCTTAAGAGACACTTTAGTTTGTGGAGAAAAGGTAGGTACGTATCATGAATCACTCAGTAGTCAATGCAGATTTATCACTGCATCATTATTCATGAACATTCATCAGAATCTGATGGCTCAAGTTAACACTGGCAAAAAAAATATTTTACCTGGAAATATGGTCTTATATATCTTAAATTAGTATGATTGCCAAGATTTCAGATATATCTATCATTTTTGCATTTTCTGTTATTGTTGAAATTATCATATTAATGAAAATATTAATGTTAAACTAAATGTATAAGTAGACTTGCTGCAAATAAGTTGCATTCTGCATGATTATGACAAGAGATAAGTGTCTTAGATATATATCAACAAATAATGAGATAAGAGTAATAGCAATGAGGTTGACAATGAAGAATAGCATGTAAATCATGTGATGCATGCATACATTATTTTGAACACCAAACTGGAACATTCAGGTACATTGGGTTGTCACAATTTTGTTTAAAAATACAATGATGCTGCTTATAATTCTTGTTCAACAAATGATGCATTCGACAAGAAGCTATTAAATGTTTTCACAGTTTCAAGGGGCATTTGCCAAATACAATAATGAGCAGAAGAAGCAATTCTATGTTTTTGATCATTCACAAATACTGACCATGATGAGCATTGCAGAAGTTACTTGGGTCCAGGAAATTCTTCAAGGCCTGATGATGTCGTAAGATTGGATGCTTGGTCAGCTCATCCATGTAGTTCTGTGAGAGATGCAGCAGTTTTTACGGCTATAAAGATCCTCAAACCCAGTTAATAAAGAACTCATTATACATCAACATATAAGTTATTGCTGTAATAACAAAAAAGCTGGTACTTGTATATATTCTCTTCTACCTTCAAACCCCACTTTCTTTCTAGATAGAATATTTAGAACTAATTGTAGATAAAAAGATTGTAATGCATGATACTAGATGGAAGCATAAAGCAACATATTCAAAAATACTCAAATAACTCTTATTTATATCACAAAACTCTTATTTTAGTATAACTATATCAAACGAATATAAACTATAAAGAGTTAAAAATATGATTAAGTTTAATACAAAGCAGGAGTATGACAAACTTTTGTAGCAAATAGACATATTAAAATATCGCTATAGAGTATTTAAGATTATTTTAATTTTTCCATCTCATGCAGTGGATGTTTAAAGTTAATTGAACACTCAACAATTAAAATTTGTTCATGGCAGTTAGACTTTACCAAACAGAGATCCAAGACATGATTGATTTCAGCAACAATAATTAATAAAACATAACATTAGCAGAATTATCATCCTGCATTGGTAAAAAAAAATCTGACATGATTTTTTATAGTCAAAAGAAAGCAAAAAACATATTTTTTAATAGCCTTATTTTAAAGTTTATTAGAATCATAAGCCTTTAAAAATTTGTTAGCCTTTGAACATAAGACACTGCTGATGTATATACATAGGTACTGGAGTTCACTAATCTGCTAATAGAATAACATTTTCTTTGGCAATTTGCATGCAATACATGAGTAGCCAAGCATTACTTACTTGTAATGCAACTTTCCTGTCATTGACAAAACTTTTGTCTGTGTTGCCAAAAAACTTCTTAGGAGGCAGCACAGGCAATGTGACATTTGGGGCCCTGTGAACATAAAAACTTTGTAATTACATAAACTGCATAATAAGAACTATTTATTTTCTGCAACTTTGATTGTATGCAAACTACAAAGTACCCTATTGATTTGTGCATAAGTACTTTATTTTTTCTACTTTAACAAACAACCAGGCTTGGTGAAATCAACAGTAGAGTAAATTTATCCCAAGACAAAACAGGCCACACTATAGCATGGATTGATTTTTGAAATTCCTGTTTCAGTTCATTCAATTTGCCCCAAAAGAAAAAATTGAACTATAACATTGCTGGTTTTGCTATCGCCATGAGTTAAAAATTGTTCAGGATTCTATGAGCATTTCTAGTTTGAATGGTAGCTCTATTTGCTCTAAATCTAATAACTTGTCATAAATTCAGAATTAAATTGTACTTGTACAGAAAAGGGTGTAAGCATTTACAACACTATAAAGCAAGACATCAAACCTAATTCCTTATAAATAAATATACGTCAAAGGAAACCAATTGTTTCATAGATTTACATTCATCATTCAACTTGACTTCAATCCACTAAAAATTAAGAAGGGAATTCCAAGAATTACTGTTTGGAGTTCAGAATTTAACTATTATTCTTGAGACATTAGACTAAATTGAGGTAGGGATATTATTTTAAAATGTGAATATATGAATAGGTTTCAACTATTATACAGCATATATCCTATTACTCACTTGGCAAATAAATTTATATGATTAAATAATCTAACTCTATTTTAATAAGTTTTCGAAAGAAAATCAACAATATTTCCACCAAACACATATCATGAGCAATATCATCTTTCTGACAAACAATCAATGAGTACCATTGATAAACTATCAAGTTCTATATCATTACCACCAGGTACCGGCAATGTTGTTATGGGCTGTCACTCTTACTGCTGGAGAGTGGTGGTTACCTTGATCCCACTAGGGGAAGTAACACTCCCCCAGTTCCGAGTTAATGTGAAATTATTTAGAATCCTGAAATTCATGGTGAACATTATCTATATTTGTGTTATCAGTGCTCTCCATCTCATTCTCTTTGCCTTTTTGCAGACCATTATTTTTATGTGTCAGTGGTGATTGATTAAAATTCCAAATCTCCTATCCGCCATCATATCATACTCACACTACTGCCTGTGGTTGGTGAGTAATAGTTGCCAAGATATAGGTACCTTTTTAAATCACTGCTCATATATTCATTGATGAAGATTTTAATGTCATGTTTTTGAGAATACCATTATAGATGAGAAATATATTTATCTGTTATCCTGCTTGGTAGTTTATTGTGTATATATGTTTTGAAGTTTGTATTGATGTTGTGGTTAATAATAGTTGTCTTAGGTGTTGATAATGTAAATATTTTACAGAAGCATCTTCAAGTACTTTCATGAGCGACCCATGCCCCGTTTGCCCGGTTGCCTAGTTGTACGGTTGCCAGTGGTCCGGTTTAGGAGTTATACGGTTACTAAATTATATGGTTAATGGTTTCCCAGTTACCCAGTTATTTGGCTAGGTTTTTTGATTTAGGGTTCCCTATCTTGTTTAAATTTTAAGTCCCTTCATAATCAAGTTTTGTATCAGAATTAAATAAAGTTGAACAAAAAGAGAAAAAATACCTGGTGGACAAGGATGGCTATAAGGGGAGTTGGGAGGCCATCTTTTATTTAACCCTTTAGATTTTTAAGAACCTTGAATACCTTCTCTCGCTTAACTAATAAAGACGACCCATTACAACGTTACCACCAGGTTTACATATATAAATATTTAAACACGAGTGGTTAATGACCAGAGAAATCATTGATTTAAATTTTCAGGATCGAATAATATTCTTCAGTGGAGGTTGGTTGATAAAAATTCAGGTTCAAGGAAGTAACATAATTTATTAACGGCGTTTTGAATGTGACATCATTCATTTTCAAGTTATAGGAAGCATTGAATACTGAAATTTTGGCGGAAGTAAGTATATGATACATGTAAATATGATACAACACGAAAAGTGGTTCCAAATTTTCACGGTTCCAAATTTTTGTGTTGTATCATATTTACGTGTATCATGTACTTATTTCCGCAGAAATTTCAGTTTTCAATGCTTCCTATAACTTGAAAATGAATGATGTCACATTCAAAACATCGTTAATAAATTATGTTACTTCCTTGAACCTGAATTTTTATCAACCAACGTCCACTGAAGAATATTATTCAATCCTGAAAATTTAAATCAATGATTTCTCTGGTCATTAACCACTCGTGTTTAAATAAGCTTATTCTGCTATCTTATAGTAATATATAAATATGTAAACCTGGTAAACCATTGCTGACATTAACTACCAAATAAGAACTATAAACTCACCTAAGTGAAGCATTGAGTTGAGCAAACTGTGAGTATCTGTAGGTGAGGCCGTACCTCACTTCTGGCTCTGGACTGCGCCAGATTTCAATTTTATATTCCTGAAAAACATAATCAATTAATCAAATACATTATCAATAAAAAAACTAGTTACTTGACTTGTGGAAGGAAATGAATATAATACAGGTATAATAAGGAATTGATGTCACTTATTTGCTTAAATCGCAAGTTAACTAAAAATTTAAAAGCAAAGAATAGTCCACAAAAATTCACATCTTTATAGAAAACGTTTGAAAGAAAGAAATTTGGAGCTGGACTCCGAAACATTTTCTATACAGATTTTTTGTTAAAAATCTTTAACAAAAAACATTTTATATAAAGATAAAGAATTTTTGTGGACTATTCTTTGCTTTTAAATTTTTAGGTATAATAACATTTTGAAAATATTAAAGATTTGAATGCATGGCTAAATATTTAGGATTATAAAGGCTTTAGAAATTAACTAAATTGGTATTCTGCTTAGAAAATTTCCCTTTAAACCACTAACCTCAAAATTAAAATAAATTGCAGAAGTCAATAATAGTTTTTTATGGTAAAAATGGAAGATGCCAGCTCTTACTTATAGAATTTTCAAGAATGATGTCGAATTATTAAAACAAAAATTGAGCACTCTGGATGTTTGGTACAATACTGGCAAAGTTGCTTTACTCAAAAGTTTGAAGTGAATCAAAACTTTTTCACACTGCTCTGCTCAAGCTGCCAACAAAGCTTCAAGATTATGCCACATTGAACCTTAATATTTGTGGACAATTTTAAGAACATACAAAATAGGTATATATATATATATATACGGTAGGTATATACAACATTCCATCGAACAAATAAAAACAATCCATGTAGGAAAAAAATATATCAATATATAAATTTCATCAAACAAAATAAGGGATGGTTTTGAGCGTTCTTCATTAATAAATTCTTACCACGAAACATTTCATAAACAAGTTTGGGCTCAATTTAAAGCTCTTTGCTTTAAATTTTTAGGCTATTTTATGGCATCTTCAAAAACTTTCTATATCCTATTCGTAAGGTGCCAAATGCAAAATAAAAGCATCCCAAATTACCCCTGGGAATAAGGTAATCTGGGACACTTGAAATAAAACTTAATTTTAAAACGTTTGAAGGATGCTGAGTGTACTCATCCATTATTAACAGTACTCTGAAGTCCTCCACTTCCTTTGGAGATGTAGATGTAGAATAGATAACATCTTGTATGATTTTTACTTGTTTTTCCTTTATTAATATATTACCATATACATACATTAACATATTATTGAAGGGACATTACCATATCCATGGACATGCCATTGAGCATTGACAATGACCTTATCCACTGCAAGCTTCATATCAGCAGCAATAAAGCATTTCTTCTGTATCTGTAAGCTAACAGAAAGGCTTGTAATTTCACATCATTTTAATTGGGTCAAGTGAATTCACTATAACAAACAAATATCATAAAAAACATAGCTGAAACAGAAAGGAATATTTTAGTGACAACCATCATATTTTTGGAGAAATAGATCATAGTTTAGGTTAATTACTCATTCTACGTTGCTGGTGCACAATTCTATCTATAACATTCTATGCATTATTTTGTGATGACCAATGATGCATTGATTTTTGGTCGAGTGAATTTTTTTTTGCTGAGCGAGGTAAATGTAATCAAAATTTTTTGTTGTTAATTGATATTTTTTTGTTAACTGGAGCCTTTGATAATCAAGGTTTTACTGTAAATGCGCTTTTAGGGGTGCCACTTATTACCTTGGGGGGTGTCCCTTATTACTCTGTCATGCAGAAATGGCCGTCATTTTTTTAAATGAAATACGCAGATTCCATCAATCACTTTATTATGCCAACACCTGTGTACAGCTTTTTTGTAAGTAAAAAATTTTTAATACAGCATATAGTTGTATACATATATCTCATTCCCAGCATTTTTTCTGGGAATGAGATATGTAAATTCTGTCAATCACATTTTTAGGACAAGACCAGTGTGCAACTTTTATGTAAGTAAAAATTTTCAATACAACAAATATTTTTTCTGCTACAGACCTTAGCAGAGGTACTTTTCCAAAATCTAACTTTTCACACTTTTTTTTCATGGATTTTTTAGAGGTAATAAATGTATGATTACCATCAAACAGGGTAAAAAGGGACGGGCAGGGTAAATAGGGACGTGCATCCCACATTTTGTAGAAATGTTGTAGCAGCTAAACTAATCAAAATATTGCAAAACTAAAAATAGTGGCATAAACTTCAACATTTTTACTATCTATTATGTATAAAGCTAGTCAAGAAATAAAAAATTTACTATCTCTAAAAAATCTCTGAAAAAAAGTGTGAAAAGTGCGATTTTGCCAAAGTACCTCTGCTAAGGTCTGGAGAAAAAAAAAATATTCGCCATATTGAAAAATTTTACTTACATAAAAGTTGCACCCAGGTGTCAGCTTGAAAACGTAGTTGACAGAATTTGCCTATCTCATTAAAAAAAAAAATGGCAGCCATTTCCGCGCGACGGGGTAAAAAAGGACACCCCCCGGGGTAATTAGGGACACCCTTAAAAATGCATTTACAGTAGAACCTCAGTTAGCAAAGGCTCCAGTTAACAAAAAAATTGATTAACAACAAAGAATTGTGATTACATTTACCTTGCTCAGCGAAAAAAAAAAATCATTTATTGAAAAATTAGTGCATCATCGGTCCTCACAAAATTGTACATAGAATGCTATATATAGAATTGTGCACCGGCCATCATAGAATGAAAAGTAATTGACCTAAACTATGATTTATTTCTTCAAAACATATGATGGTTTTACACGATCTTTTTTGTTATAGTGAAATCACTAGACTTGATTAAAATTGTGCGAAATTACAAACCATCCTGTAAGCTTACAGATACAGAAGAAATACTACATGGCTGCTGATATGAAGCTTGCAGTGGACAAGGTTCTTGTTAATGCTCAATGGCATGTCCATGGATACAGTAATATTACATTAATAATACGGTAATTAATGAATATGGTAATATCATATCAATCAAGGAAAAACAAGTAAAAATCACAGAAAATGTCATTTATTTCCATCTACATCATCTACAATGAAAGAGGAGGACTTCAGAGTACTGTTAGTAATAGATGAGTACACTCTGCATGCTTCAAATGTTTGAAATTGAGTTTTATTTCAAGTGTCCCTTTTTACCCCATTTCAAGATTAATTCAGGAGCCTTTTATATTGCATCTAGCGCCTTACAAATAGCATATGGAATTTTTTTGAAGATGCCATTCAATAGCCCTCGCAAAGAGCTATAAAATGAGCCTAAACTTGTTTATGAAATGTTTCATGGTAAGAAGTTATCAACAAAAATAGCTCAAAACCGTCCCATTTTTACCCCATTTGATGGTACTCAACTTGCTTTATGCTACATAGATAGTAAAAATGTTGAACTTTATGCCACTATTTTTAGTTTTGCAATATTTTAATTAGTTTAGTTGCTACAACATTTCTATAAAATGTTGGAGGACTGTCCCTTATTACCCCACCCGTCCCTCATTACCCCATTTGACGGTAGATGTTTTCCAGACAGGATAACAATAACACATCATATATGATTGCCAGACTTAAAATGAAACTTCCTCCTAAAACTGATCTAACATTTAAGGATCAATTAATAGGTCCAGGTGGCATAGCTTGATTGATATTAATTATTCAGATAACATAAATTAAGGCATTACATAGGATGCCTTGAATGATTAATATTGCAGAGAAAGGCCAGTAAAAAATATCAATCAAAACAGGCAGCACATAGTAATCCCTGCAATGTTGATTGGTTGATCAATTTTTTGCAGTCAAAAAAACCTACAACAAAGAATGAAAAATTCTTAATTATTACAAAATCTTGTAGGTACATCTGTGATACATTTCAAAATACCTAGTCTAAATCTCATGGCTCAGTTGTGCACTTTTGTTGATGATTTGATTACTTCAGGATACTTCACTCTGAGTTCACTGGTCTACTCATAGGGCAAAAAAAAATCTAGAAAGTATCTGCTTTGCCAATATGGCCTACCTTCAATGCCACTAACTTCACCACACTGCCTAACTGAAAAATTGGGCAGAAGCCACTAGTGAATTGGACAAAAACTCCCAGAGAATTTTTCCAAATTTCATTGTTTCACTCATTTCTATGACCCTATCACAATTTCTGCAGTGAAAAAAAAAAAACACAATGTTCAAGAGTCACTCATAAAATAATACTTTTTACCTAAAATCTTTAAAAACATCTGCCCAATAGTCCAAATTGGTGTCACAGCTTTTATATCAATCTGGACTGGAATTTTCCCACTTGTTTCTGAAATCTCATAACCTTACATGACAACTTTTTAATATAATTTTGTATCAAATGGACAGGTCAAATTGTGTCAAATATGGATTCTAAGATTTGTAGCAGACGAGAATATTTTTTAATTTTTTTAATAATGAAAAAAAAAATGTTTTTCTTTTTAAAATTATTTATTCTGTCAATTGATTCATACATCGTCTCTACACAAGTGTGCAAAATTTCAGATCGATAGGTTAAGTAGGAGTGTGTTAAATTTTGATTATAATATTTGTTGCAGACAGACAGACAAACGAACAAGAAGTGAAGTTAAAGAGAAGTGTTGTAAAAAATGGTGGATAAGCTCTAGTTGTGGTCTTGAAGGTACCTAGATGTTTTTGATGCTAGATATCAAAGGCCTACAAAAGAAATTATCTAATTTGTTAACACGTTGACTACATATTGGTACATATTTGTAGCATGTGGTACATTGTTCATGTACGTGTTGGTATTTATATGGCTCAACTCCAATATTTTACCAATTTTTTATAAATTATATTTTTAACCATTTCTTATCATTGTTGATTCCATTACATTCTCTATAACATAGAAAAAAGTCAAGGTAATGAAAAACGAGTTAAGAAATAATAGGTTGTAATTAATAAATGGCATAAAATGAAATTATCTTCCACTAATTTTTCAGGTGTAGAAAATGGATTTATCGTACAT